CTACCAGATGTTCCCCATTGCTACACATCATTTGTGAATATAGTTGCTCATTGTTAAAATTCAAACTTCAGAATCACCCCAGACTTAAGTCTTTGAAAATTTCATTTATTTTAATCTTAACAGTAATACATTTTGTTAGGCTTTTACTTCCTAAAATGAACACTGGTTATCTCTTCCTCTACTCTGTACCCTCAGTTAAAATTCTTAACCAATGACTCTCGCCATACATACTCCTGTTTTGCCATTAAATTGTGAACTTTAATTGTTACGCTTACTTTTGTTATTAGTATTTAAAATCTGACCAGGCAGAGGTCTTATGAGTGTCTGTTTAAAAACAGATGTTGCAATGAATCTGCCATTTTCCTCTTTAAGCAATACATCACTTTAGATATCTGTTTTTATCAAAAATTTCTTATATAATAATTTATATAAACTTACAAAGAAATATGAAAAATATATAAATGTATACATAGTAAACCAGTTGTATATTTTAGACTTGTGTAAATGTATGTCCATTATTGTAACTTGCCGTATGAAACTCCTTGTTGTATAGTTCTTAATGTCATGTTAGTTCTTTATTCATGGGCAAACTGAAGTTTGTCTCATGCAAATATTTAGATAAATTGTACAGTTATTTTTTATTATAAAGCCCCAATATATTGAATGTATATATTACACTATAATTTGTACAAGGGTAACTCTTTATAACAGAAACTGCTCAAAATTACAGCGTGATTGTGTACAATGATTGCTTTCCATTTTGTGTTGCAACAGGATGGCATAGTGGCTTCTACTGTGTAGGAGGAAGGAAAGAGCAACACTGCTGTGTAAATTTCTGTTGTGATTCTTAGTAAATGGTAAGAGTGTGTAATCAATAATTTTGAGTTCATTTATGGAACCCCTCCAGCGTCACATGCAGATTGACCTGACTTGTATAATAAAATCGTCTTAGAAAAATACTACTGTCAATTTTTCTTATACAAAAAAAAAGGTCGAATCCTCGACGCAACCTAGAAAAACTACCCCAACAAAGCCGCATAAGTTTTGCAGCAACATTTTTCCGAAAGTTAATCTGAACATCTAGTTCACCAGATGACCACATCCAAAGGTCATGTCTGTACTTTTTCGAGACGCAATCGACGCAATCGACGCAATCGACGCAAT